TTGCGCTTGCCTCAACATGGCGCGGATGCCAAGGATTCTGATTCGCTCCAGGACTTCCGTGTACGACATCCAGTCCTGCCATCTCAGCTTCCATATTTTACGGAGGCAGCCAAGATGGAATTTATTCAGCTTCCTGGCTTGGTTGACGTAAATGGTCCAGGCATCCGCTCCGTATAGGAGTGTCGTCAAGGCGACAGCACTGTAAATCTTCAGCTTGGTGTTCAGTTGCGGGGCGTGGCGATTCCACACGGAGGCTTGCAGCCGATCAAAGGCCTGGCTTTCTCTAGATATCCGGTTCACAACCTCTATAGTTGGTTCTGGTGTTGCGTGACAGTGTGCTCCCGAGGTAAGCAAATTATTATCTGAACGGTAGTGGTAGATGACCCCTAGGCTTTGCTAACCAAGTGGCTATCTGTCAACGTGACATGCTTTCAACATCGCCGCAAACACTTGACCGGGTATTTTATGATTACGTGGTCCATCAGTGTCCGCCTCTTGACAAGCTTTAACTACAAAAACATCGCATATGAAGATCAACGCTTACCACCGTAACAAACAATCCTTTCGCACCAGATCCTCTTCTCCTTGGTATATGCCAAGGCATTTGTCTTAAGCACACCAAAAGTAGCTTACGCCAGGTACACTTAGGCGGAAATTTTACCTGTCAAGACAATGGAACTCCGAGCAGAGAACTTCGACTCTGCTTTATGAACCGAACAGACGAGAGTAATAATTGTATGTTCTGCATTCCTATCCGCGAGAAAACTAACAATACTCTCGGTCTAACCAGCAGATTTGAAATGCCTGCAACTGTCCACACAACCCAAAATTTCAAATTTACTATTCTCATAAATTCTGCAACAAATATTAGGCTAAAATGGCGACTTCTGTGAAACAAGAGACGGGCGTCGTTGACGCTTGAACTTCTTGGAAGTACGTGGTAAGCCCCTGCACCGAGCTACTGTTATCGTGGTCGAGGATTCACAAATCGGGCACCAGCCCATCAGTTCCTAACGTTCTATCAACTTTGGTAACAAAGTAAGCCCAGTTTCCCCTCTTCAGAAGAGAGATTCCATCCCGAAACATATTCACAACGCCGCGAAAAAAAGACCAATTCGATACTGAAAGACCTGCGAAAAATGATGCCCTTGCTCAAGGTTAGATGTTGGTGTCCTCGCTCTCGCCAAAAATAACTGAATATTTAGTGATTTATATCGTACACGACGGTCGGAACCCATATCTTTATGAAAGTCCTCCAGAGAGCAACGCAACATTAAAGACAGCATACTAATTTAGACCTTCCGTATTCTCCTGTGATGTAGGTACAGAACCCAATTATGGAGAGTTCAGAGCTTGGCACGAAAGCACTGACCAAACACGCCTGTTACAGGTCACCCTTGAACTGGTGTCACTGTAGGACTCCACCCCTTTAATCACGAGCCCCTGTGAAACACATTATCGG